ACTGTCATAATTTGCATCTGTGCTTGAACTAGGTGATAAAACCTGTGTCTCAAGCAGCAGTGCTCTTATTACAAAGAATACTTCTGATACACAAAAACGAAAAATTACTAGACAAAAATAAAGACTGAAATTCATGGATTGCATAAAAGTGACAATATGTGAACTTAAAATATTACATTTAACAAAAATTATTGAAATGTATTAATGTACCCTCTGTGTGTAATGAGTCTGAGCATGTCATTGTAACTGCTCAGTCATTCTACTAACGTTTCTCAAACTCTTATATTATGTAACAGTTTGGATATTATTTTTATTAAATTTTGTTAATAAATCATTTACTTTCTTCTCCATAGCTCAAAGCCTACCTGGTATTATATGGTCCATAGTGTTAATGAAGTGAACCAGTTTGAAACAAGAAATCGATGTTTTAATTGTATTGTATGACGGCTGATATAGATAGGGAGCGTAGGGCATTGATAGTAAGATGCAATATGCTAGCCCACAGAATTACTGGTTGCGATAGCTATGTCAAAGTTACACTTTTTGAAGCTTATTACCAGAATTTTTACGCCAGTAATCTTTTTTTTAGTTATTGAAGGTTTACTGGTGGCCCGGAGGCCTTTCCAGTTTCACCAGGGCTGTTGGGCGAGCAAAGGCTCAGAGCCAGGAGGGGTGGAATTCGCTAACAGAGCTGCCCGAATGCCTCCAAAGGAGACCTAACAACTCAAGGGCAGCTGCTTCGCGAATGAATTTACTAGAGAAGATTCGGCGAGAAACTTAGCGGGCTGATGTTTAGGTTAGGTTGCACGTCAAACTCTTTGTTCGACTTCGACGAGTACGGTTATCGTCGTCCCTACTTCTAGTGTTAGAGCGGAAGGCGTCTAATGCAAAGGTCATTGGATCTGATGGATCCGTAAGGACGTGTCTAGGGCGACGACGGTGACTGGCTCCTGCGTGATCAGGATTCGGGGGCCGGTAATCTGTGGACTGCATATACTCTCAGAGCTTACAATACCCTACGTGTTCAAGATAATAATGCGTTGAGGATGATGTTGTCACTGCCGCGCTTTTGTAGTGCATCCACGATGTTTGCGACAACTCACACAGATAACTTATTTGCTATAATGCGGAAGAGAAGTGCGTCATTATTACGTCGAGTGCATGACAGTCGTAACAGTCTGCACCAATCATCGTTTTCGTCGAACCCGTCGCTTACGACGAAGAGCTCGGTGATTAAATTAACCCTCAGACACAGCCCACTAAGTTTCTCACCGGATCTTCTCAGTGAGTCGCGTTTCCGATCCGGTGGTAGATTGTGCGAAACACGGCTCTTGCTAGGGTTAGTGTTAGCAATGTCGTCAGGTTTGAGCCCCGTGAGCTCAGTTACTAGAAAAAAAAATTTTGTTGCTTAGATGGGTGGACGAGCTCACAGCCCACCTGGTGTTGAGTGATTACTGGAGCCCATAGACATCCACAACGTAAATGCGCCACCTACCTTGAGATATAAGTTCTAAGGTCTCACGTATAATTACAACGGCTGCCCCGCCCTTCAAACCGAAACGCATTACTGCTTCACGGCAGAAATAGGCAAGGCGGTGGTACCCACCCGCGCGGACTCACAAGAGGTCCTACCACCAGTAATTACGCAAATTATAATTTTGCGGGTTTGACTTTTATTACACGATGTTATTCCTTCACCGTGGAAGTCAATCGTGAACATTTTGTTGAGTACGTATTTCATTAGAAAAATTGGCACCGGACGTCTTATCGCTTAGGCCACGACGACTATTAGAATAGGTAGGGAGAATAGGATCTTCTGAACATCATACCGAGCAAGATCATGGGCACTATTAATTAATAGCCTTTGCAGCAGGCACTTGGATAACAAAAAAAATAGTAATAAATAGTCAAATAGTTACGTGTTAGGTTTTTAAGTAACTAACATAGATTATAAATGATATTCACTAACAAAATATTATGGCTATTTACTGTGAAATAAAGATACATAAGAAAAATGCAGAAAGAAACATCAGACGAAATTAAAACTGAAAATGAATTCCACTTGGCTTAGGCCCGTGCTTTTCAGGATTTACCGAAAATCATGAAAATTCGAGAATAAGAACTTAGTACATAAAAATGATACTAATAATTATTATTATTCCTGCTTCGCGGCAGAAATGGGCAGAGTGCTGATACCTACCAGTGCGGGCTTACAGCGCTTCCTACCACCAATAAATTATAGCTTAATTTTGTGTAAATAAAATCTCGATTTCGGCAGAGATGCGAAATTTAACCGAAATTCGATTCCGTGATTTTCCTCAAACCCGAAAACCCATCTCCGCCATAATAATCCTCAAGTCAACACTCATGTATATTAAATTCGAATGAATGTGAAATTTCAAATTCTCGTGAAACACCCGATTATTCAATGTGCTTGTGAACTCGTCACAATATTTCGAGAAATTTCGGCTTCATTTGTATTATAACGTTATTGTATACTAGCTGACCCAGCAGACTTCGTAGTGCCTCAATCGATAAATAAAAGACCTAAACTTTTGAATAAAATAAACTTAAAACAAACAAAAGGAATCCGTCCGACGGGGGGACACATCAAAGGAAAAACAAAAATTATCTAATTAAGAACATTTTACATATTTATTTACCTTTTAAACCTTCTCTGGACTTCCACAAATAATTCAAGACCAAAATTAGCCAAATCGGTTCAGCCGTTCTCGAGATTTAGAGAGACTAACGAACAGCAATTCATTTTTATATATATAGATTTACTCTTTAAAATGTGTTTTTATATTGTTTTCGCTTTACCTGGTGGAAAGCTTTTAACGTCGCTCAGAAATACAGCATTTTCTTTGGATTTCGCGAGACTCAGACGTAATTAAAGCTATTACTGCCTAATCTCGCGTGTGCCCTCTTAAAATTATTATTTCCGACGCTTAGAACACAGTGAACAGTTTACGTGATTTTTTTTAAATTTTTTAATTAGTTAGACGATCTCACAGTACTGGTGTTAAGTGGTTACGAGAGCCCATAGATATCTACAACGTAAATGCCGCCAACCACCTTGAGATATAAGTTCTAAGGTCTCAGTATAGTTACAACGGCTGCACCACCCTTCAAACCGAAACGCATTACTGCTTCACGGCAGAAATAAGCATGGTAGCCTAAATGGTAACCTACCCGTGCGGACTTACAATAGGTCCTACCACCAATAACTACGCTAATTATAATGGTGTACCTACATCCCTATATCTATCTACTTATCTGCTATACTTTTATCTAATACAGTGGTAAAGAAATTCTTTCCACGCACACACAGACTTCCTACTTTTGGAGCACTAGGTTTAAGTTTGGGTTATTATTTAAGTTTCATTTCACAATACACCAATTAAACAAATCTCTAATTACATTGAAATATAATTGAAATATGCCAATTCAAATTTTTATTTATTTCTTAGATGGGTGGACGAGCTCACAGCACACCTGGTGTTAAGTGGTTACTGGAGCCCATAGACATCTACAACGTAAATGCGCCACCCACCTTGAGATATAAGTTCTAAGGTCTCAGTATAGTTACAACGGCTGCACCACCCTTCAAACCGAAACGCATTACTGCTTCACGGCGGAAATAGGCAGGGCGGTGGTACCTACCCGTGCGGACTTATAAGAGGTCCTAGCACCAATAACTACGCTAATTATAATGGTGTACCTACATCCCTATATCTATCTACTTATCTGCTATACTTTTATCTACTACAGTGGTAAAGAAATTCTGTCCACACACACACAGACTTCCTACTTTTGAAGCACTAGGTTTAAGTTTGGGTTTTTATTTAAGTTTCATGTCAAAATACACCAATTAAACAAATCTCTAATTACATTGAAATAAAATTGAAATATGCCAATTCAAATTCCACAAATGTCGACAAGAAACCGCAAAATCGAGTTTTCCCATCACTACCCTGTTCAAACTTCCTTTGTAGGAAACCGCTACACTATGTCATTTCCTTTACATTATAGTTTCCTTTGTCGAACGCAGCTTTACTCGGAAACGGAGCTTTGTGAAGCTTTCAAAGGTCAACTGTGTTTACGTTACTTTGCATTGAATTTTAAAAATATTTACCGACGTATGATTTTATTCTATTTTTACTGTAAGCAACGTTGATTTGCATTTTTAACACGTGTATAGTAAATATTTAAGACTGATTCGCGAAGATTTATCTTTTGCAAAGTTTTCTAATTAGAAAATTTTATTTAAAAGCGTAGAGCAAGAGAAGCATTAGATTATTAGAATTTAGGTCAATATAATTATTTAATTAGTGATAAGCGGTCACCGAACCTGTCTATGGACATCAGTAGTGCAAGAGGCCAGTCATTCAAAAGAGGTGTTTTGAAAATGCCGGACTTCAGAGTAAGCGTTAGGGGCGGTTAGCGAAATATGATATGACATTCGCCATGCCTGTTTACTTTCTCCAGTACTAAACATTTAACAAATAGATAATCATTATGACACATTTTAAGGTGAGCAAACACCAAAATAGTGTTACGTGTTGGGGTTCGAAATATAAATTATAACTGTATTGAACAGTTAAAACACTTTCGCAATTCACTTCTTCCGCTTCGCTTCAGGTGATCCGTTCGCAGTTTCGCTTCGAGTAGTTCCGATTACTAACTGCCTTCGTGTCATCTCTTCAACGCTTTTATAGGCGATACGACATCCCTAGAATTATCGAGAACATTCCTGACAAGTCGAGTAGTTCGATATGTTTTCCGCTATTTGACAATAGATGGCGTTGTACTTCTCAAGCGTTCTCGGTGTTACTAATTCTTTTGATATGCATTTCTGCTATTCTACGATAGATGGCGTTGCTCTTACCGGCGTAACAATAGCAAAGGGAGACGCTGGAGAATATACAAGGCCTTTATTTATTCTAGAATATGACTAAGTAAATACGTGTATTGAAAAGAAAATGATTTTGTTTCAGGACGGTGACGTGATAGAATTGTGTCAAGTAAGCGACGTCAGATCCGGAGGTGTTCCCAAGGTAAAATTATACTTTAAAAAACGTTATAATTAAAAACGCTATTAAAATTACAGCTATAATCCAACTAGGGCGCAACCAAATAAGCTTCATGATTGTCGCAGTACGAGTATATATTATGTATTTATAGTATTATTAGTAGTGTATTTATAGTATCTAAAACATGATCAAAGAAGACTTCGACGTAGAAATAACAAGTATTCAAGTATATGCAGTATTCATAGAACCCGCAGAATTTATTATTTTTGCTTTCATAAATAATGATGGTAAGCTGTATTGTAAAGGTAGTGTAAGGTAAACATAGATAATACCTTTTAATTATTTCGGGTTTTTTTTTATTGCATATGTGGGTGGACGAGCTCACAGCCCACCTGGTGTTAAGTGGAGCCCATAGACATCTACAACGTAAAAGCCGCCACCCACCTTGAAACATGAGCTGTAAGCTCTCAGTTTTAACAATGCAACGGCTGACCCATCCCTCAAACTTCAAATAGCGGAATCGTCATGGTTTTATTAAGTTTTATTCCTCTGAATACTGTATAAAATATATATTTATGTATACCTGTGTGTATTTGCGTATGTATGTATATACTATAAACATTTATGTATCTTATGTATTTTCAATTTTGGGTATGTAATTGTTAATGTTGTAAAATGAATTTAATTCAAGTTTCAATGCACCTACTATTATTATTATTTTTTATTGCTTAGATGAGTGGACGAGCTCACAGCGTACCTGGTGTTAAGTGGTTACTAGAGCCCATAGATATCCACAACGTAAATGCGCCACCCACCTTGAGATATAAGTTCTAAGGTCTCAAGTATAGTTACAACGGCTGCCCCACTCTTCAAACCGAAACGCATTACTGCTTCACGGCAGAAATAGGCAGGGTGGTGGTACCCACCCGCGCGGACTCACAAGAGGTCCTACCACCAGTAATTACGCAAATTATAATTATTNGACATCCAAGTTGAAATAAATGATTTTGAATTTGAATTTGAATAGATGGTGTTGCTCTTACCGGCGTAACAATAGCAAAGGGAGACACTGGAGAATATACAAGGCCTTTATTTATTCTAGAATATGACTAAGTAAATACATGTATTGAAAAGAAAATGATCTTGTTTCAGGACGGTGACGTGATAGAACTGTGTCAAGTAAGCGACGTCAGATCCGGAGGTGTTCCCAAGGTAAAATTATACTTTAAAAAAATTTTATAATTAAAAACGCTATTAAAATTACAGTTATAATCCAACTAGGGCGCAACCAAATAAGCTTCATGATTGTCGCAGTACGAGTATATATTATGTATTTATAGTATTATTAGTAGTGTATTTATAGTATCTAAAACATGATCAAAGAAGACTTCGACGTAGAAATAACAAGTATTCAAGTATATGCAGTATTCATAGAACCCGCAGAATTTATTATTTTTGCTTTCATAAATAATGATGGTAAGCTGTATTGTAAAGGTAGTGTAAGGTAAACATAGATAATACCTTTTAATTATTTCGGGTTTTTTTTTATTGCATATGTGGGTGCCGCATTTACGTCGTAGATGTCTATGGGCTCCAGTAACCACATAACACCAGGTGGGCTCTAAGCTCGTTTGGGAGCAATAAAAATAATAATGCACCCTATTCTCTTCGGTCTCTTGCCTTTCGCATCCAATCCCTACCAGACACTTTGATCACGTCATCGATCCACCTCGTTGGCTGTCTGTCGTCTTCCAGTACGAGGCCTCCACTCCAGTATTTTTATGCCCCACTGACTGTCAGTGCGACAACATATGTTGCCGGTCCACTTTCACTTTTTCCCAGCAATCACTTTAGCTCTAAATGAAAACAGACCGATAACCTACCGCCCATTTCTGCCGTGAAGCAGTAATGCGTTTCGGTTTGAAGGGTGAAGTAGCCGTTGTAACTAACAATACTTGAGAACTTAGAACTTATATCTCAAGGTGGATTGGCGCATTTACGTTGTAGATGTCTATGGGCTCCACTAACCATTAGTTACTAACACCAGGTGGGCTGTGAGCTCGTCCACCCACCTAAGTAAATTTTTTTTTTATGTTACAGCGCACTGTTAGGTTTTCTGCAAAGTGACGCGTTCTAGTTTTATGGGAGGGGGGGAGGGGGGCAGCCATTAAAGAACACAATTGAAAATACGACCTCATATTCTAAGATTCAAGATTCACTTCGTAATGTACTCCAATTAATATTAATGTTTATATTCGACTGCACTGCGTTTGTTTGTTTGTACATTTTTATTGCTTAGATATGTGGACGAGCTCACAGCCCACCTGGTGTTAAGTAACCGGAGCCCATAGACATCTACAACGTAAATGCGCCACCCACCTTCAGATACAAGTTTTAAGGTCTCAGTATAGTTACAACGGTTACCCCACCCTTCAAACCGAAACGCATTACTGCTTCACGGCAGAAATAGGCGGGGTGGTGGTACCTACCCGTGCGGACTTACAAGAGGTCCTACCATCAGTAATTACGCAAATTATATTTTTGCGGGTTTCATTTTTATTATACGATGTTATTCCTTCACCGTGGAAATCAATCGTGAACATTTGTTGAGTACGTATTTCATTAGAAAAATTGGTACCCGCCTGCGGGACTCGAACACCGGTGCATCGCTCAACACGAATGCACCGGACGTCTTATCCGTTAGACCACGACGACTTGCGCGAAGGTGGGTGGCGCATCTACAACATAAATGCGCCACCTCCTTTGAGATATAAGTTCTAAGGTCTCAGTATAGTCACAACGGCTACCCCGCCCTTCAAACCGAAACGCATTACTGCTTCACGGCAGATAGAGGCAAAGCGGTGGTACCTACCCATGCGGACTCACAAGAGTTCCTACCACCATTAAAAACGACTATTTTTACGACTATGTTTATATTCTTTGATATTCGATGAATCTTTCTCTGCGTAGGATTCCAAGCTCAACTCGAATCTGGTGAACAAACACGGCGACACGTTGGAAGACAAATCGCTAACCATATGCAGTGGAACTGACTATATTAACATCAACTACCAACACGTGGTGTGTCCTGACGCCGCCACAGCGAAGGTCGGTATCCTCTGATGATTCATATTGCAAATCCTCACATACACATTGTATTCTTTAATTAAAGAACCTTCTCAATTGCGAGTTTTGTTCTTGAAAACCGAACCGTACAGAGTACGTATTTCCGAACTAAAATCGATGCCTCCAATGAACACTACTCTTACTCCAAATTCGTAGATTTACAGGAGGAGTGTTTAAACGAAAAAAGTTGATAAAATCTTTATTATTGCAGATATATTTATTATTTAACGGCCGTCTGGTGTACTGGTAAGTGACATGGTCACTACACAAGGGGGTCGCGGGTTCGAATCCCGCCAAGGGAAGATATTTGTATGATAAATATAAATGTCTTTTCCAGGGTTATGGATGTATATTAAATATATTTATGTGTATAATAAAAATCTTACATTTATATCCGTTATCTGGTACCTGTAACATAAGTTCTTTACGAACTTATCACGGGACTAGTTAACGTGGCGTGATTGTTAGTAAATATTTATTTATTATTATTTATTTATTTATTATATTTACGGTTTTTTTGTGTAACTAGCTGATTTACTCTTACTTCGGGCCCCATCAATAATGATTAATTGTAATACTTTTAGCATAGTGAAGCGATTTGTGTGAAAGACGAAAATTTCAAAATTTTGAGTAAGAGTAGTGTTCATTGGAGGCATCGATTAATAATTACGACACGTACTGGTTGACCGTTGTTAGTAAGTGATTATTGATTTATTTGATCTTTACAGTTAACCGCCGGGTCCTATCATGTAAATTTGTGGGGACAGCACAGATATTAATAAAAATTATTATAAATTAATTGCAATTAATAAAAAAGAGAAAAACGGGAAATGACAAATAACAAAACGCTATATATCTTCAATAAGCAATAAAGCAGTTTTATTTTTTGTATTTAAATTAAATTGCAAAACTATTTTCATATACGCTCTGAGAGATACACAAGTAAAAGACGAACCACAGTTTGAAAAGTCTAATTCTCTGATCTTTCAAATAAATATTATCTAACCGGATACTTTTATTAAATTCAATAACAAAACTTTATCAATCCGAGGACGTGGCGCAATATTACTCAGTCAACTTTCCATAGTTATTGAAAAAACATTTTATTACTATATACCTTCCATTAATATACGGACAGTATTTTAGTTAACGAGTGAATAAATTATGCGTTTTATTGAGAAACAAATGAAATTTATTTATTTGTTTTGGTTAACACTAAAAATAAACTGAATTGACAATAGACGCAGTGATAGATTTACTAATGTGGCAAAATTTTTGAAATACCAAAATTTCAGAGACAAAATACAGTATGTACAGTCTCCTTTGAAAATCAGTTCAGATTAAATTTTATAAAAAAAAATTAATATAAAAAATTATTTTAAATTTAAAATAAAAATATTGGATCAATATTAATATAATTTATTCTAACATTGAGGGTGGCGCAATAAACAGGGTCTAGGGCTGTCAAGTCAAGTCAAGTCTAAATCCATTACTGAGTAGAAGAAACAAATCATCATACTTGATGTTGAGGCACTACCAAATCCCATAGACACCACATCTCGCGACTCAAATAGATTGAAGGCTATTTCAACCTTCTGATCCGAACGTTTGGTTATTGATAGAAATAAGTAGGTATCTGCCAGTCACAGCAAGAAACAGAACATAGTCTTATAAACCATCTCTTATCAACAATACAATGATCAAAATCGCTAACTACCGTATGCTTTTCAACGTATATTAATATTTCCTTCATGTTTCTTCCACAAAAGATATGGTTGCAAGCTTTAAGGAAGATAACTCACAACGTGAAAGCCAACAACGTTTGTCCGATGACATGCCTCAAGAAACAGTAAGTGGTCCTTGATGTCGGAGGCATGGCTTCGTTTTGGGCTTTATTAGTTTGGAGCACAATTTTTTTTGCAAATTTTATATTATTAAACCTTAGTTATATATATTTTTTTCACCTTTTAAAACGTAAAAAATAAGCATATTTTTTTTACATTAATTGTAATTTTAACCGATCAAAAAAATACCTAACCATATTGTTTTTCAAGATTTGACATTACAAATAACAATTGAAACAACTTTATAATCAATAACTTAACGATATTTAAGTTTTGAATAAAGATCCGTTGTAAGCGAAACACAATAACTTGCTATTTTTGGCTTTATGGAAAACTTGGATCAATATGCTTATTTTTATTGCATGTTCGTTTTTAGCATGCTTATTTGTCTGTTCGTTTGCTTTTATCAAAGGTTTGGAAGGAAGGACTTCGAGCTATCACGCACAACAACAAAATCAACAATGTCTGCCCGAGAACGAATCTAATGAAGCAGTACGTACTTTTTTATTTAAATTTTTAAAGATACGTTGTTCTTTTTACCTAAACTAACTAAAGTAACTGATAGTTGAATTTTTGAGCTTGACTATCGTGTTTTTTCATTTGTCTATTAATACATTTTTTTTCGTAAATCATCCTTTTCATCAAACGAATCATTGTAGCCGTAAATATCCTTAAATTGTAAAATCATTTTTTCCCTTAATATTTAATAGCATTTATAATGTGTATTTAGTTTTTAATTAAAGCATGATTCGCTTAAATTTTATGATAATACTACGAATACGACCCGCCCTCGCTCCGCTTCGGAAACATTAAATTCAATACCGTCGGGCACACGGGGCCCGTGCCCAGGGCCCCATTCTCAGGGGGCCCCGAAAGACCGACAATTTCTCTCACACGTTTATTCTCAAAACATTTTTTCGGGCACATTACACTTTTTTCACAAATCAGTAATCAGAAGGTATTTACAAGGCATATACTATGCCTATAATAGAAGATTTTGCTCAACAGAAATCCCGAAAGAAACCGTTATCGAAATCGTAACCAAAAAACCAGCAGCATTCTAATATCATTAATGATATATTATTATTATATCATACTGTATTTCATTACCTACAATAAATGGTCATACTCAGTAAAAAAAAAATGTGTGCGTGTACTAGTGTACACACGTAAGAAGTGAAACTTGTTTATGGCCTTATTTTTCGAAAAATGATCTACATGCAACTTTCTAGAAATTGGTTAAATAAAGTTAAATTAGATAAAGTTTAAACAAAAGGATTTTATTATCATAGACATGAATACAAATAATACAATTATTTCACTTTACCTTTTTGCTACTAAGATTATTACAGCATTTTAATAATACATCTCTTTGATATCATAATACCCTGGTACTTTTCTTCCTATAAATTAATAATAATAGCACGGTCCACGTGGTGTTAAATGGGGTTCCTGAGGTTCGTGAAGTTTGACCCACCTTGAGACATGAGGTCGATTTCTCAAATCCNAAGACATCGGGCACCTTTGTATGGGACACTTACCTACAGCGAACAAAAATGAAATTAGGTCTGGTGGATAGGCAATTGAATCTAGTTTACAATGGTATAGGTCCCATATCTGTGAGCCGTGGGAATAAGGAGAAACTGGACATTAAAAAAATATTTTTTTTTTTACTTTTTTGTGCAATAATTCAAGAGGAAAAAAGGAATAAAAAAAACATGTTTTTCTCTTTACTTTTATTCTGCCGCATCCAAATCTACAAGAGTTTCGTCTAAAAACGCCGCAGGTGCGTGAAATTCTTCTTGATATATAGCCCAAGATAAAAAGTATACCACACTGGCGATGTGCGCGCAACTCCCTACAGTGCGGCGGCCGTGTATACAGGAACAGTAATACCCTTCGAGGCTTTGTCTTCCTTGCAATGCCGGATTTATAAGTATATATGTATAATAGCGTTTTGCTCTTATGTGACGAGACTGTATTCTGCCTCGTATTAAAACTTAAAATAATAATATTATCAACTTAAAATATGAATTTCATTTTACTTTTATTTCCATTTTCCCATTGTTATGAATTAAAATAACCACATAATATTAAATATGATTGGAAGCACTATGATTTAAAAGTGTTTTGGTTTATGTTCGCGACTTTAAAAAAAGCGGGTAAAAAACGCCCAATGATCTTTATTACTGATCCCGTTCATTCATTAAAATCAAAACAATAGTTGTTATTTTGTAAAACAAAAATCTGATTCTATATCTTTTGATAATAAAATGTCGGATCTAAACACCGAAACATAAAGGTAATTAAATATTAATTCAATGTGAATCATTGTAATTACCTTTAGAATAGGTAATTTACGTAACAAAACATAATAAATAACAAATTGTGTTGTAACCGTTCAGGGAATTCGCGCAACCTATTTGCGTCGTTATTGTTGGTATTATTACGGCTTCACATTATTTGAGCACAAACTTAGTACAATGGTAAACAGTTTCGTGTTTACTTTAAGTAGTAGCCGCTTTTCGCAATCCACGCACCTTGAATGGGAAAACTACACAGCGACACGTTTTCCGATTTATTCTTTTTTAAGCTATTGCATCGATTTTATCGCGGGCTTTGAGCGCGGCAACTGAATCAAGAAATTCCGTAACGAAAATAGCCTGACACCCCCACTACGCCTACTATGTAGCTCGCGTTCAACATATTCACGCGTTGCGCTTGTGTAGTGTTTGTGAATAAGCGCGTGGCGTGACGTCACACTGCATGCGCATCATGAAAAGTCTGCCCATCTCTCTCGCGCGCGGTCTTATGAGTGTGAAGGGGACAGTTAATGTTTTGCTTTTATTAATGTTTAATATAGCGTGGTATTGTTTTATTATTGTTTTAATATTAAATTATCATTGTCTAATTATAATTGCATAAGTTGATAAAAAATGCTATGCAATAGCTTGACCGCGGCAGTTCCTGAGTACCACACGTTTTTTTTTATTGCTTTTGTAGGCAGACGAACATACGTCCCACCCGATGGTAAGTGGTCACTCATGGACGTCAGCAATGCCAAGGGCAGAGTCAAGCCGCTGCCTACTATTGAGTACTCTCCGCAAGCCTCGTTTGAAGAAGGATATGTCATAGCGCTCGGAAAATACCATGAAGGGGAGTTAATTCCAAAGCCGGATGGTACGTGGCAAAAAAGATCTTTGGAAACGCACTGTCGATGAACGCAGCGGTTCAGATAATATGGATGAACTCTGCTCCGATGGCGGGAGGTGCGATGATAAAAAGGAGATGAGGGGATCATCTCGAATAATTCCTCAGAGCTATCCCGCCGCGAAACTGGACTTGGATTCCCAAACTATTTTGGACAAGAGACCTCTTCTCCAAAATACAAAATAAACTAATAAGGTCAGGGTTCGACCCCAAAGGCATTGAAAAATAAAACCAGCAGCAGTAGGCCGCGTTGGTATCTTCTAATTTTAGTTTAATGCTATTACTCAAAGTCCTGGATCCATTCATAATTTGATTTACTTACTCTAGCCGTGAGATCTGTGTTCTATTTGAAGTCTAGAATATTGAGTTAACCGCTCCAAGGCGTTCGATATTTATCCTAAAATATTTAACAGAAGTCGAACTTTCCGTGAGAAGATCGCTCAAAAAGAAAAAAAAACAATTCTTTATACTTTATACTACTTACTTTGTTTGTTATTGAGCCTCAAACGTTTTTGTTTTGTTTTAAACAACTTCTAAGAAACTAGAAAATCTAGCAACTGTTATTCTTGAGAAAAGATGTAAATCATTTAGTTATTGTGTTAGACTTCGAATTATTCTTTTCGATCGGTTTTCGCGTCGTCGCCGCGTCTTAGACACAATTGTCATGACTTTTACTTTTACTGATCAATGTCGCGTTTTCAATTGTCATTTCATGATTTCCAACGTTTAAAGTATTTTAAACTACTAGTGGTCCCGCAATAGTCGAAATTCGACTATAATTAATTGGAATTGTAAGTTTCTACACTATTATTATTGTATTTTATACTTCTATAATCACAAATTTCGCCAAGGCTACACTATAAAAAAATATTGATAAAGACCAACAATATTTAATCTATTCTCAATTTGACCACAGACGTCAAGAACAAAAGTTTGACGATAAATAGCATGCATGCGTGTGTGCGTCAAATACATGGAATGTAGTGTGTGTAATGTTTTCTTTATTGAATTAATGTATCTTTTATGCATTATTTTAAAAAAATATTAGCGTTGTGCACTTCTTCTCTATATTCTCTATAAGTGTGGAAAATTTTATATTCCTCCGTCCGCGCAATTTTCGTAAAAAGGGATACAAAGTTTTTGCTTCACGTATTAATATATAGATTCTTTGCCACGAACGAAATACGTATTAACAATAAAGTATATAATAAAGTAGTTTTAACTGAACTGACTCGGTGGTGCAGCTGTTAGCGCCTCCGACTATTACACCGAGGGTCGTGGGTTCGATTCCCACATCAAGCAGTCATTGTCTGGATGTTTATTATGTTTATATGTACTTATTTAAAAACGTATATAAGTATCTATGTCAGTCTCTGCCGGATAAGCGTTCGTGATTTCTTCCCATTTATTTAACCGTAGTTTGAACCATAAAAATAAATTTCAACTGTACAAGTGATTTTGATAACTTCATACCTGAAGGCGATACAACGGGTCCGTTGGACTTTCTATATCATGGGACCTTTGCGTCACTGGATTTTTGAGTGTTTTCCATTATTGGCAAGGCAAAATAAATAGACAAAGCTTCACTGAAAAATGTAAACAATATTTTAATACTTTTTTTTTGTGGGTACAGATCAAATAGTCTTAGAAATGAGTTCTTTTCCTTTAAGCCTTGTTCGCACTAGGCGAGTATTTTAGTCGAGTACCGAGTAATTTAGTGGCTAAACTACTCGCTACACGCCCAAGAAAATAGAACAAAATGGATTTACTTGACTAAATTATTTACTAACCTATT